GCTTGAACAGAGAGAAGGTGGTAAGGACATGGCCAGGTTCCTTGCAGCCCTTTCTCCACTCTTCTCAGCACCTCTGAGATGTGTGGGTATTTCTCGCTCCATTTTCCCCACCAGTGATGCTGGTTGGAGAGGAGGTGGCTTGCCCTGAAAGCAGGTTTTGTGCCAGAAGAGATTCAGCCTGGTGCTGGGCAGGTTGTTTTGAGGCCGGGAGACATTTTTTGAGAGAAAATACAACTGTATCCTGACTGAGAGCAAGGAGCATTGACCTCCTGTGATTTTTTCTTGGGATGGGTTGGAGGCTGAATGGTGGCTTTGCTTTTTTTTGTCTTTTGAAGTTCAAAATTCAGCCTGTGAGAGACAAACTTACGAAAGCAGCATGTGGGGATTTCTGCTTAGTTCCCATATTATGAATAGAAAAGCTTCAAATTCCCGGTTGTCTCACCTCCTTTGAAAGTTCAGCTCACATAGATGTTGACCAAAATGTCAGAGGGGTTGTTTTTAAAAAGGAGTAATAACAGTTGGGGGAGACTGACTCACTGGATGAAAGTCTCTTGTTTTTTCGAGCCCAAGGGAAAAATAAGTAATTTTTAGTTGTACTCTACGGCATTCCCTCATTAGCTTACCCCAGATTTTCATCAGTGAGATCAGGATTTGGACTGTGCACTTCCATGGTCATCAGCTACGTGACACGCCGTGTCAATAAACATAGTGGAGATGTTTTCTGGAGTAATATCCCTCAGCTTAGAAGTTCCCTTAGCTAAAATACAGCCAGGATTGATGTCCAGCATAACCAGCAACCCCAGCACTAGATCACACCCATTTGCCCGGGACTGATACTCCATCCGATGTAGTCAAGGGGCATGTTCCCAATATTGAACAAGTGTTATTTGTCCTTTCCCAGGCGGTGAGAGTCCCAGACATGCACTCTTTCTATGTTTACTCCGGCCAAATCTCATCTCCCAGTTACATGACTCACTTCACATCCCACCACTCACAAAAGTCTCCCCTCCTTTGCCTGCTCGATCGCATTTCTCTGAGTGGCTTTGCCTTTGGGAGTTTGGGGTTGAGCTGGGGGGGTTGTTCTGAGGGTTGTAAATGAGGTATGTATGTGTGTACGTGCAGATCTGTATCTACCACATGTCCAAGAACAGGAAACCTCTTGCCTGCTTTTTTTGCCTTTCCCTCATCCTTCTTTGCTTTTGCTTATCCCAGGAAGCCTGTTCACTGCCAAAACATAAGAATACTTTTTTAACACTTTGCCTGATGTTTTTGCTTCACCTGCAAGAGCCAGAACTGCAAATGCCAATATCCTGGTGAAAAAAAGAAAGGCTTCTTGGGTTTGTTTCACCCAGTCATTTCCAAAAGGAAATAAACAGGCTAAATACATTCATAAAAATGCATGAAACATGCTGTGGGGATTGCTGAATGACAGTAACAGAGGGGCAGAAGTGTCAGGTTTTATACATGCTAGTGTCGGCAGACTCTCGGAAATTTTCCAAGTGGTGTTTGAAACTGTTAGGACCCACTGAACACTGACTTTTTGCTAGTGCATATTTAGATTTTCTCCTTCAAATGCCTTTTTTTTTTTTTTTTTTTTATAAACACATAGGAAAATGTTGGTGTGATTAAGAACAAGAAAGAAAAAAACTTCAAATTCCTTTTTTTTTTTTTTTTTTGTATAAACACATAGGAAAATGTTGGTGTGATTAAGAACAAGAAAGAAAAAAAGAAAGAAGAATGTTTTATACTTCTAAAATTATCTGAACTTTATCATTAGAAAAGGTTGTGAACACAGTTACTTAGTTTTGGGGTGAAAATATCTTAAATAGCTCAAGTCAGTTTCCTACACATGTTAATATGGCTTTCACTTAAACTGACAGCTAATTCCAGAGTCAGAGTTTCCACCTGAGAATATTTTTAGTTGTTTCTCTTGCAAGAAACTCCTAAGAACGAAAGTTTTAAAAAAAACGTCCTGTGTATTGCTACATTGGACAGCATTTTGTGCATCGATATTCTGACTTCTACCCCTTGTTTTTAAATGATTTTTTTTCCCTTTGTTTGTGCTGGTCTTTAAGCAGAGGAGCATCTAAAACTACAGATGTTCCCACAGCATTCAGGCAGGGGGCTAAAATTACTCTGAATTTGTAATTTGGGATCTACTATGAATTCAGTGTTTTCTCTTCTTGCTGGTGCTGCCTGTGTCCCCAAGCCTCCGGGCATCTGCAAAGATCCCAGCTGATGTGCTGGTACTGAGAACGGCAGAACAAGGACTTATTTTTCTTATTCTGTCTGCAAATATTCACCCCAGAGTAGCAGCTGGTAAATAAGACAGAATGGAGGGGTTTAAGCAGAGAAATAAAGCAGGAGCCACAGTTTATTGACCGCTCGGAAAAAGATGAAGGCTTCCTGCACTTGAGACCCAGCCAGGAGGTCCTTGGTGACCAGCGCAGTGGCTGAGGAAGGCACACGGACATCTGTTTTACTTTGAACGCAATGTCCAAGACATACCATGCCTGATTACTGCTTGTTGCCTGAGGTTGCATTTCTCCCTCAGTTTTGGCAGCGGCTGGAGAACAGGCATCTAAGCCCCATCGGCTGGCCAGCTGCAAGGCAGAGCCCTGTGGCCGTCCCGCAGCAGCGCTGCCGTTTCGTGCTTTGCTTTTGCGGGAGGTGGTGGAGCCCGGTTCAGCCACACAGCCAGGTATTTGGGAGGGTTTACGGCAGATTTGTACAAGCTGAAGAAAGAGAACTGAAGTAAAGAACTAAATAGGAAGCTGTTAAAATACCACTAAATTAAAGAGAAAATAACCACCTTATTCTTTCCTGTATTTACATAAAGGATAACTTCTAATGCCTTCCCTTCTCACATCTCCTCCCAAGCCCTTTGTTGTGGGAATGCACTTATTTCCATCTCTTCCTCCACAGACTCCAAAGTAGGTGCTTTTCCCTTGATTCCTTCAATCTTGATGTAATGTATTTCAGTGTTTCACTCAGCCTGCTCACGTGCACACTAGGCTCTAGCACTCGTATTCCCAAATGCTCCAGCAACTCAAGATGGTCACAGCTGTGGGTTTTTTCACACTTTTTTTTTCCCTTTCACCCTCCAATTGCCTTTTCTAGTGCCTTTCTTGTTCCCCAGGGAGGTGGCAGTCAGTGTAGCACAGCACCAAAGCTGGTTCCCAGCATCTGAGGGAGATGACAAGCCCTTTTTTTGATGGTGTCTTGAGGGGATGAAATGTGCTAACGCAATGCAAATCACCCTTATGAAACAGCCAAATGTCTTGGGACTCCATCCTAAAAATATTCCACAAACATGGCTCTGGTGCATTTCTTTCATTTCCTCTAGTCGGAGGCCAAATCATCTGAAAATATATCTGTTTTCTAGCTGTCCTGTGTTATGACACAGCTGGAGTTGGTTAAAATCTAGAGGGCAGTATCTGGCTTAAGCTGATGGGTCTTTGTGCGGCTTTGATTTATTATTCTAGAACAGCCTGTCCCCTCTTCCATCCTGTAGATAGTTTTGTTTTGTTTTAATGAGAAAACCAGAAAAAGGCTGAAATAGCTTTGCTTTTGTGCTCTCCACATGTAATGCAAAGTAGAGGTCTGGGCATGCAGATTCCCAGATTTCTCCAAATCAAAGTGGTTTCCCCCCATTTATCGCTCTGCAGGCAGGGATGGATGGCAGGACATTTCAGGGGAGCCTTTGGATAAACTTTGTCTTCCTCAGCTTTGTAGGGGCCAGAAAGACAGCCGATGAACGTGGTATTTGTCTTTCTCTAAGCCAAATTTATATTCTCACATTTTAACCAGGAAGCCAGGTGATTAAAATAATCCATTTAAAGCCTGGATGGTTTTGGTATTATAAGGAAAGCTAACCATGGTGTTGGTTGGTTCAGACACTTTGGTGTGGTACACTGAGCCACTTCAGAGGGTGGAAAGAAAAAAATAATTAAGCTAATTATCTTGGTATTTGGTTTTTCTTTTCAAGTGTAAACTTCTGGTGGCTTTCTGCTTTGTACTGTACAAGTGCATCCTGCAGACAGGAAAGGGTGTCGGGTTTTGTGGAAGATCCTTCCCATCAGTATCCGAAGTGCACCGTAGCTGCGTCTTTTGGCTCTGAGTCGTGTAACAAAGGTTTCTAGTCTGGAGCCAGTTTTTTTCTCCACGAGGGTGGTGATGCAAATTACAGGATAAAGGAAAGCTATGGGGGCAATTTTTTGTGAATGTGCATGCTGAAATTGTGATACACAAGAGTTAAAAGATGATTTAACTTTACCCTTAGTTATTCTACACTGGCGTTGAAGAAAAAGCAAGGGAGAGGGAGATTTTAATGGAAACCATAATAATAAACCTTGCTGTAAAGTGGAGGAAGCAGGTCTCTTTAGACCATGGCTCTGGTTCAAGTCAGAGATTACTTTCTAATTCCTGAATCTGTGCCCCTGGTGAAACGTCTGCTGGATGCCGGTTCCCTCTCCTGCAGCAGCTCCGGATGAACTAAAACAAGCCCTGGCTGCCTCAGGAGACGTGAGTGGGTATGTGACTGGTTGTACCACAGCCTTATGGGGCAAGGAAGAGAAAATCTCTGGTTTTAAGCCATCCTGGCACCTGACACAAAGTCCTCTGAGGTCAGCCGGGGTCCCTGGATCAGACCTTTGTAATAAGCAGCCGTTGTTTCCAGACAAAGCAAAAAAAATCTGATTTTCTTTGGCTTTGAGGATTTGTTGTGCCTTTTTAAAGGAGGAAGAGAACCTCAAAGGACATTTCTTTGTTTTCCCCTGAAGACTGTACTCTTGGCTGCAGACCATCTCTCCTGTGCTCAAGCCCTTAAGTGCATTTTCTCTCTTTCCCCCGCCTCCCCTTTTTGCCGACAGAGGAGACTGGCTGCACGTTGCCCTCTGCTATCCCAGGGAAGCCATTTTTCAGGTGGTGGCAGATATCTACCAGCGACGGACAGGGACGGTGCACAGCGTAAAGCACTACCTCGCCGCTCCTTCCCGGGCCAGCGCTCTCAACAGGACCGGCGAGCAGCTCTTCTACTTTGACAGAGCATCGGGGTGAGCCCTGCATTGCCCCTGAATGGGCAGCAAACCCTCGGGGTCTTTCTCTTACCAGGCCCAGCACCTCCTTTCCCTTCCTCATAGTTAAACTTCAGGCCCATCCGTCTTGCGTGGTCTTTTCACTGATTTCAGGTCAAAATGGATTTACAGGCTGGAGTACCTGGGTTAGGTCTATTTCTGTATCACTGAGCAGCGATTTGCATTGCTGTTAAGAAAATGGCTGATTTCTTGCCTGGACTTAGCTCCTTTGAGGCATCCCTGCTGCTGAGATTGCTGCAGGTGTGAGTGCGCTGTAAATATTTGTTAAAATCCACTGGACCCCAAATGGCCATGAAAAGGAGCCCTCTCGTGAGTGCTGCAACTCCAGCACTGAGATAGTCTGGGAAGTTTCAACTGCTTCATATTCCCATGAAGAGAGATTTCTAAAATCATCACACTCTCAAAATCAGATTTTGTGAAAAAAGGAGAGCACCACAGTACATCTCTTATTTTGAAGGCATGAAAAGAGTCCTAGAGATCTTGCACGATCTTTATAAGACTCTAAGACACCTTTGGTTAAAAAAACATATTACGAAACCGTGTTTCTCAGTCAGCTAAAATAGTTAGGGAGGAAAAAAGTGTTTTGTGGTCTAACCATGGGTCCCATGACGCTTCACCTGACTAAGTAGCTACTTCAGAAATCAATCCACAACTGCCAGATTTGAAAATGAGATGGGATATATTTATTCATTCAGCCATAACACATGAGCAATCGAATCCCGGAATGCTGTCCCTGTTAACCAGGCTCCTTGCTGTGTGAAACAACAATTGCTAATTAATCTTCCTTTTCTTTTCTTTTTTTTTTTCTGGGGGGTGGTGAGGGAAAGTTGCCCAAATTCTGTAAACAGGTTGTTTACTACTGAGTAGCGGGGAAAATGGTTACACATGAGGGTCTGTGGGGGAAGAGCCATTAGCTGCCAGCAGCCATCTGGACCTGGTACATGCAGATTGATGGGTCTAACCTAACTGAATTCTGACAGTATCAGCCTTTTGGTTTTCTCTTTAATTCAGCAGTGATTTTTTTTTACCCTTTCAGAGTACAGAAGTGAGGGGATTGGCTTTTTTCTTTTCCTGTTGTTGTTTTTTAGACTTTATTTCATAATGAGTGGGATGTTTCCCCTTCTTTTTTTAACCCCACATGCTGGACCCTTGGAAAGGACCCAAGCTTACTCATTCCTTCTTCCAGACAAATAGAAACAAATATTTAGTTTTAAAAGAAATAGAAAGAAAAACCCTTTTAAAGCTCATGTATCTTTTTGATCCTGGAGCTGAACTGAGCTGTTTATATAATTTCCTCAGCCTGAATTGCAGAATGGACACAACTGAAAACACACTTAGAACAACTAGAAAAAAAAAAATGAACTCCAGAGGCCAGAAACCTGGCTGCCTTCGAGCTTTCGTCATGCATGCCTAAGGCTAAACTCAGCCTGCGGGCCAGGACTGTGCAACACAGCCGAAGGGGAGATGCTATTTCCAGGCAAGCCTGTCTTCTTCTGCACAACAGCTGAGGACCACTGCTGCTCTTTCTCTGGTGGGATGCCTGGGGGCAGCGTGGGGTGCCTGCCCCACACGATGCTTGCCTGGTGAAGGCAGCTGGCTTGGGCGTATGGGCTGCAAGCGCTGCAGGTCTCGTCATGCCAGGATGAGAGGGGAGCTTGACCTGCATCCTTGCAGGACCCATTTTGCAATGGCTGTGCGGTATTACACCAATCTAAGACAGAGCAGGTTTGTGATGTTGGGAAATGGGAGGGATAATGCAATTTAGCAAGTGCAGACCCTGCCTCTACTCAGCTTTTCCTCTAAGCTCACGGTGGCTCTGATCCCTCCGTTTGCTCTCATTTGTAGGTACCTATTTGTTCACCTGCAAGCCCATGAAGCTCGGAGAGGACACAGTTACTGCTCTCAGCAAGGCTGCGAACGTGTTAAAATCACGGCGCATATGTCCCCAGGGGACTCCTGGAGCTGTGACCCAAACCCCTTCCCAGAGAGGCCAGCAGCTGCCCAGCACCCCGTGTCCCAGCACCCGGCTGGGCCGTGCAGGGCGTGTGGGGCCCCGCAGGTACCCGCCGCATGAAACAGCATCTGAGGTTATGCAGTGTATGTGCATCCACATGAGGGCAATTCGTTTTCACAGCGTATAAGGAAAAGCTGTAGGGAATTCCCACTTGTGAATCTGCCCAACATCATGTAACCTGTGTAGAAGAAAGGGTTTTGCTCTGAATTTCTGCAGCTTTTTGTACTATGCTTCAAAGATAGCCTCAAAGAAATTGCCCATCTGGAAGCATGTGAATGCACATTCATGGCACCTTTTTTCCCTCATTTCTTTCTTTTAAACAAGAAAAAAAGGACTCTTGAGGGGGCTTAGATTGGATTAGCTTTGAATTCCAAAGTACGACGTTGTTGCTGAATTTCAAACTGGGAAGTAATTCTGGTTAATAGGAATAACTGGAAAATTAGAGCCAGGTTCTCTTCTCATTTACTGTAAATTTACGCCACTCTAAATCCTGTAGAATTGTTTCAGGCTCATACAAATCTGCACTTGAGTTTATAGCCAGGCAAAATATATGAAATGCATAATGAACTTTTAAACTTGCTTAGTGGCAGAGTGACCATCAGAGGTCCCTTCCAGCCAGCATTGCCACAATCCTGTGATAAATGAGCACTTACTTGTGAACGAGGATCACAGTTTGAAAAAAGAATTCTTAAAGTTTTGCAATCATATACATGAGCATTGACAGCTGGTGTCATTTTGTTGATGAAAACCAGTTAGCAAGCCAGTTTTTAAGTTTCTGTCTCTGGTGTAATTGCAGCTTGCTATCACTAGCACACCCTCGGTCAAGTATATAAGGATCCAGATCCAGTCTCTCAGCAGGGTGGACATACAAAACCACTTGACATCCGCGTTCATTAAGGTATGTTGTGTTTTATCACATTTGAAATGGTGATTAAACAAGGGAAGCCTTATCTCCAAGGAAAGTTACTGCAAAATCTTGCTGAGCCTTGGTGGAAGGAAAGGGGAATTTCCCCTGGAAGAGGCAAGTGCATTGTTCTCCCCTACAATTAGCTCCATTAAAGTCACTGGGAGTTTGTATTCTATTCAGATGAGGATTTGAGCCCTTAGGGAAAAAAAAGGCCTTTTACCACCTCAGGAGAAGAATTAACACCAACACTCTAATGTAGAGGAAGGGGGGGAAAAAGGACACCAGAAGTCATTGGTTACAAAAGATGTAGGGGCAAAAACACTTTTGTTTTTCTGATTTTCTCTGCTGGCATTGCAGTAAATGATAAAAATAACTATTTCACTACTGAAGGGGCTTGGAGCGGTCAGGTTGTCCCTGCACATGCCTTATATGTCTGTCTAGATGGTGAAGGGTGACTGAGATCATGCTTGCAAGGACATTGTCCAGGCTTACATGCCTGTGTGCTGCTGAATTATAATTAATGCTAACAATTGCCAAGCAAAGCTGGTACAGCATCCTTAAGGAGTCTCAGCAGCCAAGATTTCTTGCCACATGCACATGCTGCATCATCAAAAATTTATTCAAAACCATTAGCAAGCAGGTGTTATGGGGGCAGCATCCTCACCTGCGGTGAAGTGCAGAGACCTGCGTGTGTGCAGCACAGACGGGCGTAGTCAGCGAGGTTTGGAAAACCAGGGGTATCCTCAAAGCTTCTTGGCCTTTTCCAAAGCTTTAATGCAAACTGTCATTTTTCAAAGGATGTTTTATTTCAGACACATGTACTCCTAGCTGAAGTACAAGGCTGGGCTAGGCAAATGATAAAGATTAATGTCTAAAGGAGGATTCTTACCCTGAATCTTAAAAGTTGCAGGAAATTTGGAAATAAGTGAAGCAGAGGAGCCCCCACTACCGAGACACACGTTTTGTTCTTGTTTTGCTGAATGAAATGCAAAGGTCAGAAATCTTCTAAATTTATAATCCAAGCTGCCCCAAGGAGTGAGGGAACTGGGTGCAGTGGTGCCCTGCTCCAGCTCCCGCGGGGCTGTGTGAGCCCTTGTGCTGGCTCCTTGGTGGGTCTGCAGCATGCGGACATGGGGAGATACACAGCAGGGCTCTTTCTTTTGCCAGCAGCTCATGTTTAGGTTGATTTGCAGTGGTGGTTGCTCTCTGCTCCTTGTGCATCCAGACTTTGACACACTTCCCAGGCTAAGGAGTGTGCGACAGCCAGCACTGGGCAAAAGCTTTAGTCTGTCTCTGCTCCTCCTCACTCCCCTCTGCCCACTCATGGCCCAGACATTGATGTTTCCCTTACCCTTGACCCACTATTGCATTCAGCATCCTCCGACATCTTGCAGAAGCCACTTTTTAACACTTGGCTCCCTCATTCAGTCTGGCCCTATATTCCCTGGAGGCATTCACATGGCTCAGATTGATGGGATGTATCTGAGCTCCCTGGTGCCTGCGGGCTTTGGACGACTGTGTGGATTACAGTGTCGTGTTGTGTATCCTGGGCTCAGCTTTCTGACAGCCTGACCTCAGTACGCTGTTGCCATCCTTGGTGGAGGTTGTGTCCTCCCAGACTGGGCTGCCCCTGGGATGCTGGGGAGATGCACCAGTGCCAGGCACCTCGGAGAGCCTTTGCCTTTCTAAAACCAAATATCATGGCACAACCTGAGAGGTGTAACCTGGGGAAGGAGCCCTTGCTGTAGAAAAGGAGAAGAGTAGGAGCCACATGTGCTGTAACTTCTTTGAAGCACTGGGGCAGCCCTACTAAGAAGGAATATTTTGGTTTGGATATTTACATTTCTAGGGAAAACAAAAGAAGTCCACGTGTCGCCTCTATTCGCCCATCTGCTGTCTCAGCACCTCTCCCTTGCTCCGTGGTCAAATCTGCTTTGCCAAGTGACAGTAATTTCCCCCACATGGAAAGAAACTGTATTAAGACTGAACTAAGCATTTTACTCCCAGGATTCTCGGCTTCCCAAATGTATTTTCCTAATACACAAAAGATGCCGATGACCTCATTTCTCATGTTTTTGTACCCCATTGAGAACTAAGGGTTTTGCTTCTTCCTGCTGCTGACCATCTATCAGTGATGTCACTTCATCTGTACTAATTATACATTTAAAATTATAGCGTGTACACCCTTGATATTTTCCTTGCTTGTAACTCCCCTGTGGAAAAGCAGGATCAGAGTCTGAAGCTCCTGCCTCCATAAAACCTGCCTCTGTTTTTTCTTGCAGATAAATGATAAGGTTTTCCTGTTCAATAGCCGTGGGATATTCTTTGTGGTGCTAGATGCATGTTCAGGAGCAGTCGTGAGTAGGCAGCACTTTGACGCAGTTACTGGTGAAAACGCTGCCAGTACAATAACTGATTACGTTCAAACATTTATAAAAGAGAGGTAAGCAAACTGCTGAGAGCCCAGTTCATGTAGCAACCCATGGCTGACTGATAGACAAAGAAAGGAAAATGACCTACTTTCATAATCAAACCTGTGCTCCGAAGAAATCTGGCACAGATTAAATATGTACAAATCCCAAATATCACCCAGATAATAAGAGAAGCAGCGTCTCTCTCCCAGGATTGCACAGATTAGAGCAGACAGAGACAGATTTTCTGGAAAACTGGCAATTCTTTCTAAATTAACCGTTCATTTTCCAGCATGGAGTAGATAAGGTCCTTGCAATGACATTTGCAATCCTGCACACCTATCCCAGTGTCCGGCAACTTCCTGGCAGCCGATGATTCAGTTTTCCATTTCTGAAATGAGTTCGTTTCTGTTTACTCTTACTGATTGTTTTTGCTTCTTGTGACAGATGAAAATCATAGGTGTGCCAGATTTTCCAATAGGACTTTTCCTGGGTGAGCCAATGAATAGGCCTGCCTGCCTGCGGGCTCTGTTACCTTGCATGTGTCCTGGCAATGGTCTGGATCATCTCTGTTTGTGTCTGCCCCACATTCCTTGTGGTTTTATGTGTCGCCACATAAACATGGAACAACAGAGATTTATAGATAAATTCTTGGCTGCTGGCAGAAGCAGGTCAAATAACCAGAAAACAGACTTAGTCCAAGACATTTCTGAGCAGTTCATGACCAAAGATTTGAACACTCCTGAGTTATTACATCTGTATTTATGCACATGAGTATGTACATGTATGAAACCTGCATAAAGTGACATATATCCATATGATGCCTGTATATTCGGTTTGATTTTCTGGTAGGATGTGTATTTTGCAAGTCCAGGCATTCAGCTGAATGCAACCAGTTGTGCCTGCAATTCATTGCAGGTACAATTCACTGGGGGCTGAAAGCACATCTGTGAGGACCAAAGCCAGACTGAAGCCTGATTGAAAATCAGACCCAGGATATAGATGGTTTCAGAGTCTCAGCACTGCAGAGCAACCAGATTTCTTCTGTGGCTGTGTCCCTCTCCCATAAGGGATGCACTCGCAAACAGTCATTTCTCCTTGTTTTGATTCCATGTGAAGCACAGGTTTAATTTAGGAACATTTAAACAGAGGCTTAAACTTAGGAAAGCTTACGTGTGATTGAAATCAAAGGGATTTAAGCATGTTCTTAAAGTTAAGCAAGCTCTTAAGTACTTCTCTGAATTGGAGCTTAAAGGTCTTGCAGATTCTTAATGAAGTAATATTTTGCAATCATGCGGTAATTACTGTCCTTCTTTTCAGATCACTTGTTCTCGTGTGCTCTAGAGATATTGCAGACGTGGTGGGGAGCTCTGAAATGTCTGTTTTTACCAGGTTAGGTTCAGCAAAGCCTATTGTCTTCCACAAGGAAGGTAAGTGTATTTATTCTACCGTGTTTCTTTTGCTTAAGAATTACTGGTGCGTTTCCCTACCAAAAATGTACACATACTTATATAGTGCTTATCAATATATTTCCTACCACAGTATGCCAGTGTAACCTAGTAAAAACCTCTTCTTAGGGATGGTGAGAAGTAGGAGAGTTATTTTGGGGCTTTGACCCTACTTCACCAGTGAGAAGCTGCATGCTGCAAATTTTTCATCCTAAAGGGAGCTTGTTTTTCTAACAAAAAAAAAAAAAAGAAACATTTGATAAAGATTCCATCTCTAAAATTCAACTGCTTTGCAAGGAAAAACAATCACAAACTGAAAGGCTGATGAAAAAGAAAATAGCCTGAAATAGGAGCTATTTATTTTTTTGGATGGAATGATGGTGAAATCACCAGTTTTGGAAAGTTCTTATTACAGTTTTACCTTGGATTGCTGCAAGAAACCCATTGGTATCATTGGTCCAGGAAATCCATGCTGGGTTTCCTACTGGAAAACGGGGGGCTCTTGAGTCCCGGTTTGGATGAATAATTTGAGTGATAAGGAAATCAAGAAAACAACCAGCCAGCTTGATTCAGATTTCATTTGCAGTCTCTCAAGCAGAGATCAGGTGGAGAATTGGCTCTATTTCCAGCTTCTTTTTTTTCTTGGGCGTTTGGGGATTTTTTTCCCCTACTGCTGTACTGAAATTTATATCAATTTCTGGCTCCAGTTTCAATGCTCATTGCTGTGACCAGTCCAGGGGAGGACAGCAGTCTCTTTACAGCAGAGACAGTGATTTCACTTTGGTGCCTGTTTGATTCCCAGGAAGCTGTTTTTTCTTTCATCCTTTTAAAAGCAAAAGTTTGAGGTTTTCTTCTTTGTTTTTGTCCTGAAACTTCATTGTTTCATTCTTTCATCAAAGCCCTGAATACTTTTGAAAGGAATTTTTTTATTAAAAAGCAATCTTTTTTGTTTGTTTTGTCAAACTTTGTTCCCTGAACCACCTGTGCTGCTCGCTTGGGCGCAGCACTTCCAGGTCGTTTTGGGAGCTTGGTTCAGCCTCCAGCCCCAACTGCTCCTGGGGCACAAAAAGCAGCGAGCGGGGCCACCAAAGCCCTGGGGACACACTGCTTGGTGGCCATCTCCTTGCCCTGCCACTTTGGTGGGATGCTGGTGTCTGGCAGTGGGACTAAGCCGCTGCTGGCCGATCACGTGCCACCCCTGTTTTGCTTGGGCAAGGTGTTCACCCACGTGTCTGCCCTGATTTCCAGTCTGGGTAATTATGTTCTGCTTCATGGGCTTTCTCCTGCTGATTCAGGTATGCACACTATTTGACTTCACAGCTCCAAAAGTGATTGCACACAGGACTGGTCCACGCTGGGGGGGGCTGCGTTTCAGGGCAGGCTGGAGCATTTCTGCCAAGTGCATATTGCTTCTGCCAGGGATAATGCAAAAAAAAACCCCGATCCCCTTGACCCCATCGGGATCAGGATTTAGGGTCTTGTTGCCTGGTTTTGCAAAACCTTATTTAAATTAGAAGTGTTTACGGGAATAGTCTTGATCCAAGCAGCTGCAAATAGCCTTGGGAGTCTTTGCAATGAAAAGCATAATATAAACACAAGACATTATTATTAAAATCGAAGAATACATAATGCCTTTGTACTTTGTGACAGCAGAGGACCAGAGCAGCGTCAACATGGGGAATAGTTTAGGCATAACAGGAAGAAACTGATGTAAACTAATAAAAGAAGGATTCAAAGTGCCTAACCATTTTCATGTAGTCAAATATGAAAAAGTACCAATGCTTAAAAATGAAGAGTAAAACAATATTCCTGCTAACTGACATCTGGGAACCTATCTTAGCTTATTGAAATACCTGCAGATCTGGGATGCAGTGAGGTTATGGCTTCAGTGAGGCTCGTTCTCTCTTTCATCACCGTTTTTCTCTCCTAAGTGTTCTGTTATTTTAATCCAAGGGAAAAAAGAAGGGCTAAGAAGTTTCCGTGCTGTATGGAGGGAGTCTGTGCTGTGCTGCTAATAAGTGAACTGGCCCATCCAGAGGGTCACTCTCTTTGTGTCTGTTTTTCAGGGAGTTTTGCCATGCTTGGCTATAAAGGACAAGCCAAACCCTCCTGGATTAAAGTCCTTAATCATGCTGGTTATCAGAAAGCTGCTTCTCTACAGCATTATGTTCCCTTGAAGCTGAAAGAATATCAATGTCCAGCTAATGCTGACAAGTTGCTAAAATTCGCTTTTTCTCAGAACCACTCAGAGCACATCTCTGCAGAGCCCGCGGCGCCTCGGGATTAGCAGCACCGGGGCAACACCAGCCAGGCAAAGCCCACCGCTGTGACCAAAAGCTGCTCTTGTTTTTACGGGATTGTACCAAACCAAAGGTGTTCACTTGTATATTTTATAACTAATAAATATATTCTCATGTTAAAGCTCTGTGGTAGAGCTTTGTTTTTCAAGCGGTGCCTCACAGGGCAGGATAGGAAAAGCCTGTGGGATGCCTTTCCTAAGGAGAAATGTTTCAAAATATCCATGATTTGGTATCAAAAGGTAAGTTTCAAAGGCAAAACCCTGCTCTCCGGTATCACAGGGACTGGAAATGAAATTCGGCATGGAAACTTTAGCAACGTCCAAGGAAACAGATGAACCTCAGTAGAGGTAGGGAATTCTCCCTTCAGTCCTGTTTTCCCTCCATTAATGTCTGCTTTTAAAAAAACGAAGTGTCCATCTGCCATGGCATCTTAGGTGAACTCAGTAACATCTGCTTGCATCAATGGGTAAGCATGCAGTGATCTTACAATAATATCTTCTAATCAAACTGAATATATAGGGTGCAATAAGGAGTTATAAATGTGTTTCTGTCTCTAGCTAATGACTGGTGAAATGATGTTTGTCCAACTGATGTGAACATTTAATTAAAGACCTACAGGAATAAAACTCAGGATAAAGTATGTGCTGTGTTGCATAAAGTCTTGCGTTCCTTTCAGACAATGCTCGTATTGACTTTCTGCTCCCATGGAGGACTGAAATACTGCCAGTATTAGTGTCTAATTCTCTTTGATTTTTTTTTTATGCTGCTGCTTTTTGAAGTAAAGACAAAAATACAGCTTTGTATGCAAACTGAGAAACAACTGATGACCTCACTGACTACAGCTTAAGTACAAAATTACCCTGAAATGATGACATACTCATTTTGCTTTGAACATGATGTTACTTGGTGACAGCAGTGGAGGGGCGGGTAATATCAGACGATCCATGTCTTCGTCACATGGGTTACTCAAACAGGTAGGTGAAGGCTTTGTTACTAATGCCCCGTCATTTCTTTGAACTTCTCAGAAATGGCCAAACAAGTTGCTACAGGGAAAGGTTAGCGTTTTGTTGGCCAGACTTTTGCTCCCTGGTGAGTTAGTCGCTCTGGCATCCGCGCACCAGCCAGCTGATACTGTGCCTCTGAGTGGGGACTGAGCTCCTCAGCTGGGGCGCTTGCCTCCGTCAGACACGTACCGCCTGGTGGTCCTTGGATGTGGGGTGAGAAAATACCTGAAAGGTTTACAGGCAGAGGAGTCAACTGTGGCTCCATCCCCACACCGGGTATGAGAGGTGGAAGTCAGGTTTGGCCAGGGGAGAGGTCCTGGCTTGCTAGAAGGTGTGAAGAAATCACTAATGCTGCTCAGTAAAGGTAAGCTAGAGTGATGCACAGGACATCATGGGCCTGAGCTGGCCCCCGCGGGGAGCGATGGAGACTGATGTCCTGGGTGGAGATGAGGAGTGGTACAAGAGCCTGAGTGGCTGGGGCTGACCCTCCGAGGAGCTCCCTGAAGTCCTTTTGAACTCCTGTTAGTACCTAATTGTTATGATTTCTGAGGCTGTGCAGGGGAAGAAAAGCAAGATGTTTTTGGCTTGTGAGCGTAAGCCCAACATCGGAACAGCTACTTACAGAGCAAGCTTTTAGCTTCTTGGAGATTTATTTGATAATCTGTGACAGGTCCAGACCTGGATCCCAATAAAACTTTGCAGAGCTCTAACCCCAGGCTGAGACTAAACAATTGGCAAAGGAAGAGCCTGGTGAAGGAAGGAGAGGAATGTGCCTAAACCTCTGAAAAATCTCTATTCCTCCTCCCGCCCTAGAAGGAGAGCAAATGGCAAATGTCCTGGAGAGGAAGGCGTGGAGCCGTGGCGAGCCAGATGCAAACAGTAAAGTACCACAAAAGCAAAAAGAAAAATATTTACATCCTGATGGAGTTATTTGGGTAGTTAAAAGCAGCAGTTTGAAGAGGATTCAGGATGCTGTGATCCTCTTCAGCCACTGCACACGCTTTTCTTACCTTGGGAGGGAAAAAAGGCTTCAAAACAAGGGACGCTCTGCAGAGGGTACAGTTCCTCCATGGACCCTTGGGACATTCAAGACGATGTTTTCAAAGGCTACTGCTAACTTGGCATGCACCAGAAGTCTCTGTGGGTGAAGCTGCAGGGGTAAGTGTCGCGTGGGTGTTGCACTTGCGGAAAGCTGTCGTATTCCTCCCGGGGATTTCCTGAGCATCAGGCTCTCCGCCCGCATGCTGGAGTCCACATGGACTGTGTGTGTCCACGTGGACCTGCAGCTCATCCAGGCATGTTCAGTACACATAATGCATTCAGGACTTACGGCCATCCTGGTTATCCCCAGAGCATTTCTGCAGTGGGAACACAGTGGCTCTCGCACTCCCTGAAAGCATTACCTTGGCTATACACTGAGTTACCGTCAGCAGGCACAGCAAAGTCAGTGCGCCCTGAACCTCTGAAAATGGGGCCCAGCTTCCCACCACTCTGATGCTTTGAAAACTTCATGTGGTGGATGAGGGTTTAATTCAGTGAAATGCTGAGCAATTCGAAAGCATGTGAAACTGGGAGTCAGCCTCGGATGGGTGGAGTGATGTGAATTGCAAATGATTTTGTTTTAGCTGAGCCAAAAATTGCTTCCTTTCCTTTTCAAGGTCTGTAAGCCTCTGCAAAAAAAAAAAACGTTAATTCTGAAAAAAAGCATAGCTTTAAAATAACTCTTTTTTTCCCCTTCTATTTCTGTCTTAAAATAGTTTGCCAATATTACAACAAAATTGCAAACACCTTAGTTTCCTTTAATTTATTCATTGCAAAAATTTCCTCTTAACTCCTGTTCCTTGTTCAGAATCTGTTTTTATGAACATCAGGAATGGAGGAACTTGCAGTGATGTTTATATACAGAATACATGAGCAGAACCTTCTTCCTTGTAGAGAAAGATATTAGATAAATTTATAAGAAACCAAGGTTCATTGGGAAAAAAGTCAGAGTGCTGCTTTTGACTCCAATATTGATTTCATTGAGAAGTAAAGTCTGTTTCTGAGTTTAATCCTCCTCTACTTGCCAGTAAAAAAGAGCAGCTAATGGCTGGGTGGTAAGCACAAGATCAAGATGAAGAGCAGCGGCAGCTATGCTGCCGTCATGCGCCGGGACTGGGAAAGCATTTCCATTAGCGATCCTAGAAATGTGTTTGTTTATTTGTAAGGCCATCTGAAGGCTTTAGCTGGGCTTGCGGCTGGGTGTGCAAAGGCTCCCCCTGCACAGGAATGTCACTGTAGCAAGAGCAGGCATGTCCTCGGGTCAGAAAGGCAAATGTGCTTCTCAAATCCATCTTCCCAGCTGGGACTAAAATGCAAAATTCCCCGAGTGGGGTGAGAGGACAGTTGCTGCCATGCAATGTCAGCAAGAATGTAGCAGAGGCACTAATTAAACAGCTCTTCCCTCTCTCAGGAATTCAGACCTAACCACTAAAACTTCAGCATCAGCTATGGCAGTGGGAGCGTCCAGGTTTGGCCACCCGGAGCACACAGGGTGCACCACGGCCCTGGCACTGACCCATCAGGGTCTCCTGAAGCATCTCACCTTACAGAGATGGTCCCTGGGGTACACAGATTTTACTCACAGGTCCTCTCAAGTACCCGTGCAAACTAATGTCTGCTGGCAGTTCACTCTCCACCAGGCTAAAAGGCACCTTTTCCATGTGAGCTTTTCCTGCTCTTCTCTGGGGATGACTCCAGATCCCCGCTTTGCCCCCACACAGGTCTGTGGCCTCTCTTGCTGGGCAGTAGCAACAGTAGCAGCCGTCAGGTTGTGGGCAGGTTCCTTGCTCCTGTTTGACATCTTTTTCAGGGGAGATCAGGCAGCTGCTGCTTTTCTCCCATCCTTGCTGTGTTTGTAAGGGTTGGCTAATGCTCCTGTTATGCCCTGCTTGACATACCAGAAAGGAGCCTCATCTTCAGCAGATGCTGAAGTTACATCCTCCAAGGTGTGTCAAGTCGGTCTTAAAAAGCATGTTAAGACACCCAATATCATGAGTTACTTTTTTAAAATTTTGGTGCCAGGCTTGAGTGGTTGGCCCAGAGTTGTGCAAGGTGGTGAGTTGAGGTCTGAGCCTGGCGTGTGTTTCTGAACGGCTGGCTGTGCCGCTCCGGAGAGCTCTGCTCTGCCACACGGGATTCGGGGTGTCCGAAGCTGACAGTCCAGCTTCCTCAGAGCATTTCTTTGCTGTTTTGCTCTCAGGATTGTCTGCTCTGCATTGCCTCCAGCATTAAAACCGCAGGGAGGGCAGTGGATCGGGATTCCTGTGTATGCACTGTGCTTTCTAGTACAGTATCGCTGCTGACACCTGCGGTAGCAGCCAGCTCAGAACTAATGGTTTCCTGCGTCTACTTTTAGCATTGTCTGCTGCTATTGTTCACTTTTTGGAAAGATCCAGCAGCTGGGAATCATTTCAGAAAGTCTGCCTTGCCAGATCCAGGGATATGAGTCCCACTTGCCATTGCCAGGCAGCTTTTAATGGCTAGATGAAAAAGCTTTTCTCACCCAAGAGAGGAGACACAGATGGTATTTGAGAAACATTGGAGATGATAGCCTTAGGAGGACACTTGTATGGCCCTTACGCTCTCAGAGTGCCCAAGTCTGCAGGGAGATTTGTTGACATTGCTGGTTACATCAGAGCTGAACTCAGCCACGTGGCGCCTGTTCAAGTGAGATGTAGTGTATTGCTGTATCCCCACGCGGCTCTGAGCGCTGAGCTAATGAAACGGCTGGCTGGCAGGAGATAACTGCTCCCGAGTCTTCCCCAGCAGGAGACATTAATGAAAAGAGTCACTATCTCTTCCTCCTCTTATATTTAACAGCAAAATCAAACATGTCACTGTTTGTGTCTAATATTTGGGAAAGATGCTTAATTGAGAGCCTTTGAAGGAAAATTCCTGAGATTACCCTCCGAGCAGCGTTTTGCCGGCAGCGTGTTAGTCAG